CATCCTTGGTATAGCTCTCGCCAAACGTATAACAACGTTATTTGCTATTCCGAGATTAGGCTCATCGTTTGGTTTTTGTTGTTTTTCCTCTTGTACAGAATAGACCTCAAATCTGTAAGCGCATCACATAAGATTACAGAGAACAAAAAGCTTATAACCCCACTTTTGAGGCTTATTAGGTAAATATTGTTTTAGGATATGTGCAATTTTAGTTGAACACATTTGCTCATCTATAGAAAGTCGTTGTTCTATTGCAACTGATGGCAATGTTGTATTTAGCTGTTCTATCACAGACGGAATCTTATGGAGGCGATCRTGATCAGAATGWTCTCACGGATGATGTTTACTATAGTCGTGGAAATGTAAATAGCTCCTARTCATCTCAAATCTATTTACCGGCATTGCGCCCTTTACAGGTTCGTAGGCAAATTTGGAATGCCAGTATGAGCGTACTATGCTCCACTGACATAAATATAAGAATTCATATGAATTTTTTTTAACTCCCCAACAGTAATTGTAAATAATATTGAAGGGTTCTCTTGTACTGCATAAAAGTTGTTTTCATCAACAATTTTTTTGAAGAAACTCAGGTGTGAAGTAGTGCATAAAACACCACTTTATGGGAAAAATAATTATATAATTCATATGAATAAATTGTATATTTATAAGAAATAAGTAAAACTATTATTTGCCGATTTTGCATACTAATGTATTTCTGCATCACAATTATAACGCTCGTATTTACTATAACTGTTATTGAATTCTAAATGAAAACTCATAAAATACTTTTAGCACATAATAATACTATTTACTATCAAATAAAATGAAATTGCAATTTTACCGCCAAAGTGTGTATTTGTAAGTGGCGCGCCAAGCTGTCAAATTATTTAATTTAAAAAGTGAAATGTCATCATGAAAGTTTGCGTTCAAAAACCAACACAGATATTTTTAGCACCTAATAAAAGAAAACAACACTGATGTATATATACATCATCATGCCTTTAAGGGTTAATTTAAAGGGCCTTATACCTGATGTTAACAGCTTCGTGCGATGCTCTGATTGTACTTAGTCTGAACATGAAAAACGCCATTTTGGCATATAATTTATGGGTTAATTTGATTTGCTTTCGTGTTGGTCATAATTCGAAATAAGGCCGATATTACTCGCGCAGCTTTTTTTGTAGTTGAGTTTTTAATATTCTGGTATGTAGATTCACATGTATTTTGGGTTTGATGCAACTTCTTGACTGCTATTGTCATAACAATGTCGTCCGCGAGTCCGATTATTTTAGCCTCTTTCGGTAGAGGAAGCATTGGGCCAAAACGGATTCTTGTGATACCCGCAATAAATATGGCGGTGTTGTGAGATTTTGTAATGCTTTTGTTATGTGTGTACATCAAATGTGATAATTGAGATCTTCAACTGTTTGGTTTGGCTTCTGTAACAAGACCAAACGCTGTTGTTTCCATGCTTTTTGGAAAAGATCAACGATTAAGCACTTTGTTTATAATTTTGTAAAGCATTTGGGGTGCCATCCTACTCCGGTGATTTCGCATTTCCGAAACGTCCAGCAGCCTTTATGACCTCCGTGTGGATAAGCATAGGCAAAGGTATAAGTGCAGATTCTTCGGTTAAAAACCGATCTTCTTCATGCATGTCCTGCGTAGGAAAAACTGTTTCCAAAACATTTTTTAGAAGAACAAGGCCGGTCCGCGTTGCCCTTTGGGACCTCGAACGTTGGGCATGACTAACTTTTCATCGATTTTATTACAAAGCTTCTTGAATCTCGTTTTACCATTTTATAGCTTTTTTAAGATCCTTGCGCTTGGAGGACTGGTTCTTTACGACAGTCCTTTCCAAAGTGATCAGCTTCTCCGCATTTAATGCAGCATTTGCTACTATCTTCAGGATTGTACATGTTTTTGCGACATGCCCGAAATCGAAGCATCAATAACACTTTCTAATTTAGCTTTTTCTCGTTTTGTGCTTTACTGTCACCTAAGCTTCATCTCTCGGTGTTTCCTCCCTCCTTAGATTAATCGAACTTCCACATGTCCACTTTACTTTGTCCGATTATTTTGGCATTCCTTCTCCATTCGACCTGTTGAACTTTTTTGGTGAGGTCTTTCGAATCGAATTCGGTGAGGCCATAACGTAACCTTTTCGGTGTGGACAGCACTCAGTAAGACCTGATTTTATGGACCAGAGGTTTTGTACACTCGCATGCAGCTTCGGGATGCTGCTAAGGAGCTCCCTCATGGGGTTATTTATAGAGCGCTGTAGGGGACTCGTCATACTTACTTACTTCTTTATATTTTCTCCAAGTTCGAGCATATAATGTGCCACACATTAATTTTTACCCCCTCAGTGTCAAGATTTCCTGTTGCAGCTCGGGCGATCGAGCTAGCTTTGGTGCTCGCCTTAATGGATTAATTTCTGCACATTTGCTTATACTTTTAATTTTATCTGATGGAGTCACAGCCTTGCAGTAATGTACTCCGTACATGTTCTCATGTCTTTTCCGAAAATCCTGGAGCCTTAGGAGTGTTAACTATGTGACAAAAGGAAATTGCGAACTTTTGCCTAGGGAAGAATGATGAGCCCTATCTATGTATTTCATGTGCCAACATGCGTCTGTAAACGCAATGTATATTTCAGATCATAATTTTCATTGAATTCTTAGCTCTGTTCACTCATTTTTTTTAAAGTTTCTCCTGCCGAGCCAAAAGTGATGAAATCCACTAATCGAAAATTCATGGCTCTTGACAGTTCACACGCTTGTCCATAGTTGAACCTTCTCTATATTATACGTTCCGTGTGCTCAATTAAACATTACGATAGGAATGCACACTCGTATATTTTTGCTATTAGGTACATTCCGCATTTTTTATTGATAGGACCCTCCAATCCCTCCGCATATCATTTGAAAATTTTCAGGCTTTTGTTAGATCTCCACTGTTGGCATACATATTAAATATTATTATACATACATACATGTACATATTTATTATACAGTACTTTTCTAAATGAATTGTTTTTGTTACTTTTTATTTATTTTCTGTAAATATTTGTTATTTAGTTTACAGGTATATGGGTGCAAGTAGGCCTAACAATAAATAAAATCTACTGAAAGAAAACATTTAGTTATAATTAACGTTTTAAATGGGCTCACAGTAATTATAAAATCGGTAGAAGAAGGGTCCGCCAGTTTTGCTATTCACAAAGTAAAACTAAATGCAATATTGAAAACAAAAGTAATAAACAAATAACAGCGATAAGTTATATACTTTCATATTTCAAAAAGTATTAACAACTACGTGAATATATCATAAAATTGCTATGCAAAGAAAATGACGTGTTTATACAAATACACCGAAATATATTCCATTTGAAAGTATTCTAGTAGATAATAACTTGTTTGACTCAAATTCCTTAATTTTTAATAGAGGTTCATTATTAACCAAATTACATTTTTTTTGTTTAATTTTATTATCAAGTTCCACATCGTTGAATTGTAATTCGCGTAAATTAAAATTTTTCTTTTTAAATCGCTGCTTGGTCACCAACGCCACCAACTTTCATTTAATGAGTGTTGATTATTATTTGCTTGGCTGTTGTTAGCGTTGTTGTCATTATAGTAGGTTTATGCAAACATACGTAGTACTTCCATGTTCTATCGGTTTTGGTGGAGCTGGTTCCTCCCACTCTCTCAATCCGGCATCATAATATTGCTCAGCACAATATTGTTGCAATTTCCATGGTACCTGCTCTTCCATGGAGGTCAATTGTAAATCCAAACGTCATCGGTACTACATTCGCGATCGATACGTTCCATATGTAGCTCACCAATAGGTTGTCCAGGACAGATAAGCTCAGTGAACTTGGCTTTCAATAGGATGGTAGGATGGCAACGCATGTCTTAACGACGGTGTCCCCACCATTTGTCATCTTTGCGCATAACACGATGGAACCAGTCAATTAATGCGCTCAACAGGTAACGTTTTGGACTGTAAGGTGGATATTGAGTGTTTAGCATGCTAGAAAGTATGTAAATTCAATTTTGCTCAAAACCTACCCAACATCTTGATAAACCTGACCAGCAGTATCGGGATCCTTAGCGCAGTTGACAATAGCTTGTGCAACATCCGAAAAAAAAAGCCTTCTGTTGTACAGTACGGTTGCCCGCAAACCAGAGTGAGTAGTATCGTAGGAAACGATCTTCCGAACCATAGATATCAGCCGGCCTCTGGGAATTCATCGCGAACAGCACATACATTCACCTTAGCATTTGCTCTTCAAAATTTGCTGCCATCCTCAAACACAAAGCTATTTGGTTCGGAACTAGCGTTTAAAGCAGACTAATGAATCAAACGTTCTAAACCAGCTTCTTTGCTATTTCTTACAAAAATTATGATAAATACATGATAAATCTATTGAAATAAAGCTTAAATCCTAAAATTCGAACAGCACCTGACCCATTACGCAGAAATATTAACGAAGCCATGTTTAGTTATTTCGTACTTTTATTGGAATACAATCCCAGTCGATCTGTTATTTATCTTTCCAATGGAAATTTGCAAACACTTCTTCCATATTCAAATAACTTAATAAACCATAGTAAAGGATTGTTCCGCGAAATAAATTCAAGCAAATTTACTTGCAAAAACCGTTATGATGGCAAAAATATAAATATGGCTGTGAATGAGCATATTCTGGACCCCACTATTCGGCATGGTTGCTTATTTGCTCGTAACATTTTTCTGTAGTGAACATTTATTAACTTACCCCAGTTAAAAAGAGGCATAAATAAAAAATTTAATTTTTCCATTAATTTTTAGAAAATAACACAATGCAACCATTTTCCGGTTAAAAGTCGGCCATCTTGGATTCTAATAGAAACTCAACCCGGACTCCCTTGACGTTTCCACAATGGCACCTCTCAGATGTCCCTTTGTTTACATAACTTCAGCTGATAGTGATTCTACTCTTCCTCTACCGTGGTTGGCATAGACGTCGATGTAACACCCCTTAATTGAGCTCTCTCCTGGGAGATCACATTAGTAATTTTAACATTTCTTCTTTTATTTTTACAATAGATGATTATCGAAAGATTGAGTATAATTATGATTGATATTGTATATATACTTATATTTATGTATTGTTGCTGTTTTTGGTATTTAACTTCATCTATGAAGTTTATATATTTAATGTTGTCTAAATCGCTTAATACAATAGTGTTCTTAATTATTTTACTTTTTGTCGGAAATGGTTTATTATTAATTATAATGCTACAATTATAAAAATGTATTAAATACAGTGGTGTTGTGATATCCAAGACAGAATTGCTTAGCTGTAAGAATTGCAAACCAATTCCGATTTTCAATGGTCTCACAAAATCTGTTTGGATTTTCGTCTTTTCGAAGCAATCCCCTTAAAGTCTTTAATGAGTTGAGAATTAAAGAAAGAATTTAAGAGATCACAGTTATCGAATGAATAATGATTTATTACGTTTCGTAAATCTTCTTTGAGGGGGGAGCCTGCTTTAGAAGCTTAAAAACAAAAACTGTTTTTTGCTTAAATTATATAATATGTCCCTAATGTTATAGATGGGAACTCGAAATATTGTCTCGTAGATATATGAATGCTTGGGCATAAAGCGAAAACTTTTACGCGCGATTTCTCGGTATTTCATTGTATTTATTTGGCGGGCAGGATAGAAAAAAACTCAACGTGGTATGGAATTGAGGCAAAACTTATTAACTTGACTAAAAAAACTAGGATAAGTTAAGTTTGAATATGTATGTTTAAACACCATAAAGTAAAATTTTTTGGGTCAAAAATCACTTTTTTCAAATTAATTTTAGAATTTTAAACTGTTTTTTGAAATTTTCCTAGTTTAACTTTAACCTGAGTTATTAAAAAATATTAATTTCTTTGAATTTTTTGTTACCTGCATACTGCCCGCCGTCCGACAAATGTACATAAATGCATCCGGCAATTGCTTCCTAAAGGCAGAATATCAAAGATTTCGTATCCAAAAAATTTTCGGATGCTGCTTAAATATATAACTATAAACTCTAAAAAAACTCACAAAAAAACTATTTTTTATTCTCATGTTTTCTCCTATAGAAATAAAGGCTAATTCGTAACAATAAAATAGCTTGATTTCTTAATTTACATTTCAAATCTGTGAGCGACTATCTTCTTGCTTTGTTTCTGACCGCAAAACCGATAAAATTGGTTTTCGTGACACCCAAACTGATACAAATTCTATTTTGAATATCAAACCAATAATATCTGAATTCATGACACCTACTGCGTTTTTTTTATCGGTTTCAAATCTGATTCCTACAACTATCAGATTACACAATAGGGTGGGTCGATTCCGGACTTTTTTCGATTCGGGATCTCTAATAGTGCGGAAAAATTGCCTTAGTACTTCCTGATTCCAATGCAACTTTTTGTTTTGAGATCGGATTGCATCTTGAAATTTCGGAAATTCGCCTAAAATCCTGAAATTGTCTACCTAGCGCCTGAAATACGCATCTCATGGCAAAATGTATAAAACAAAAGTTATTTGTCAAGTCATTTGCTACCGAAAATCGGCTTGCGGCCACACTTCTTGACGTTGATTTCGCCGAATGCTATCACTCACATTCATTAACCTACGCCAAAGGACACGTTCGGATAGGTCTCCACACAAATATTTTTTCATCGAGTTCCTTCACCGTGGTCGTTGATTTCGCCGAGTGCTATCACTTATATTCTCTCAAGAGAACACAGAACTCAAAATGTCTGTATCTAAATTTAAATTTAGACAGAAATGTCCTGTGTTTGGCATATATCCGTACAATCCCTTTGAGTCCAAGTCACCTACTTATCAGGATGTTCTTTTGTGTCATCAGTTTGAAAGATTTCGTATAGGGCGACTCTGAGGCGACAACTATGAACCTAGGAGTAAAGAGGTTATAGAAATAGTTGCAAAAAAGGTTGAAAATACTTTCAAAAACTCATCTATTCCGATAGTTTCACACACCAGAGTTGTACAAATGCTCACCACATACCATAAGAAATTTCTGACTCTTAACCAAATAAAGGAACCCAATAGGTTTGAGCTCTAAAAGGGACGACTTTTTCTCTTCTGCCGGAAAATTATTTGACATCGCTGCTTGTAAATGCATTTATTTTTCTTCTTGCACTTGTCCAAAGGAAAGGAAAGTTCCTATCAATGAACAACCATTTCTCTTAGACCAGAGAACCAGAAGAATTGGTCGCATTGGAAGTGTTGATCTACCTGAAACAAAAAAGATTACAAAGAAAAATTATCGCAAAGAAAGCTTTCAAAACGTCATTCAACATCAACACTTACCAGAAAAATGTCAGCTAGAACACGTGACCATTCAGATCAGCCAGACTCTCACACAGACGACAACAACGTCGGTGCGTCGCACATGGATTCTTCCAAAAAGGATGCTGATGATGAATTTTCTCTTCCATTCTCTAAAACCAAACAAAGCACACTAGTATTAAAACTCAAATTTCGTGCTCTTGTAAATGGAAGGGTTAGATGTAATAAAGTGCCAAAGCTGAATTTCAAAGCTAACAATTATTACGATATGATTAACTGGAAGACTATTACCTTGACTGTTCCACCAGTTATTTGTTCAGTTTCTAACGAAGAACTCATAAAAGGGCTGTTGGGTGACACTGCAGAGGTATGGAAATTTAGTGAATTCCCCTCTCACACCGTGGCAGTCGTGAGAACCGTCAAACTGGTGACAGAGAAATCTTCTAAAGTTATTGGCCCCCAATCTCGTGATCGTTTTATACGCTCTRCACTGAAATCTAGGCAACAAGCGCCAAAGTTTAGTACAAAATCTGATTTTATCAATAAATTTGACACAGATTTAGACTAAAACAAGCCTGACATATGGTTGATTGGTTGGGTTGGGCTTCGGAGGAACCCGAAGCGCAGCCACCTCCACGCGGTGGATTCTGGGTGACCAATACAGGTTAGTTAAGTGTTGCAACAGTTTTCACCTTACTCTGTGGCGCGCCGCATTTTCGCCCGTATCTCGGGAACGGTTTCGGTAGCAAATGACGTGACAAATAACTTTTGTTTTATACATTTTGCCATGAGATGCGTATTTCAAGCGCTAGGTAGACAATTTCACGATTTTAGGCGATTTTCCGAAATTTCAAGGCCGGAGTTAGGGTTGAAGATGCAATCCGATCTCAAAATAAAAAGTTGCATTGGAATCAGGAAGTACTAAGGCAACTTTTCCGCACTAATAGGAATCCCGAATCGAAAAAATTCCGGAATCGACCCACCCAATTACATAACACCCCTGATAGTTTCCACTTAAGGGAGAACTGTTATTTATAATGCAGTCGCTACTATTTCGTAACGCTAATAATATGGATGTGTGTAGTGTTACTAATTCTGTTAGAATTTTGATAGCAAAAATAATATTATTGTTTTTGGATCCTAGTTTATTTTTCTTTAATTTTTGTGGCGAGCTTTCAATCTATAAGGACGTGTTCTGATGCGCTCTACAAAAAAAATTAAACAGAATAAACAAATATCTAAAGAGCGCATTAAGTGCAGGCGTTAGGATATAACGCGGAAAGTGATAATCAAAACATAAAAAATCACAAAAATATTGAACTGTTTACAAACAATAAACATAATAAAATAACAAATAAGTGCGACAATACTCTAAATGCCTACTTTACTTTTGTCGGGGCTGAGAATTCAGCTTTTACCAACAAACAAGACAGCGGTGAGAAGGATGAGTCATCGCAGTGACAAACTGAACAGCACCACAATCAGAGCTTACATAAACCAAAAGCACCAGAGAACGGCAGTCAACAATGGCCAGCAACAAACGTGACCACACCAACAACTAAGCAGATATCAGTAAGTACGCAGGCAGCGAAGAATAGCACAACACAAGGTGAGAATGTACTAATAAAAACGGCCAGTCTGTACTGGCATTGACCGCTACATTAACATAAAAAGGAAATTAAGCCCTTAAAAGTTAACGGTCAATCTTAAAAATTTCAAGGCGGTGCACCAAATAAGAATAAATCAGAAGTTTTAAATGAGAACAGATTTGCTTTCCTAAGCAATGTATAAGACGACGATGCGAAGGGTACCACCACAGTCGTTAATGCCAAACCACTACCAATATACTTGGGCGAGCGTAGTACTAATGCTCTTGTTGCTGAATAAAGTAAAATTGTAGGTACTAACACTTTTCATAGATGAAACAAAAATTCTATCCTGCACTGAAAAAAGTTTTATGTAAATAGTTAAATTTTTGTCAAATAAACACAAGAGCTCTAAGGGGCTCTAGACTCTAAGTCGATGCCGAACTCAAATCAATGAAAAAAAAATTAAACACATCCAATATATAATTTGAAACGATGCAACAAATTATCGTAGAATAACTGTGATGGTTCAGATGACGATGCGAAGGGTACCACCACAGTCGTTAATGCCAAACCACCTCCAATATATTTGCGCGGACGAAGCAGTAATGCTCTTGTTTCGAAATTAAGTGAAATTGTGTGCACTAACAATATTCATATAGTGCCTTTAAAAAAGCCAATATAGACGAAACAAAAATTCAGTCGTACACTGAAAAAAGTTTCATGGAAATCGTTAAATTTTTGTCAAATAAAAACCAAAATTATTATTCGTGTTAACTGAAGAGCTCTAAGGGTCTAGTTGTTGTAATCAAGGGTATAGAGTCCGCTGTAGACTCTAGTGAAGTCAAAGAAGCATTGGAAGAATGCGCCTTTGGAATTAAAACAGTTGAATTGTAATATATTTAATGGAAACAAAGAATCACAGCCAATGTTTAAAATTGAATCGTTGCCGAACTCAAATCAATGAAAAAAATTAAACAAATCCAATATATAATTTGAAACGATGCAACAAATTATCGTAGAGTAACTGTGGAAGAATCAGATAAAAGAAACGGTCCGGTACTATGTACTAACTGCCAAGAATATGGGCATACTAAATCATACTGCACTCTACGCAGTGTTTGAGTGGTATGTGGTGATTTATTTCAAGCTTCTAAATGCACCCTTAAGAAAGAAGAATTAAATAAAATATGCAGCAATTGCGGAGGAAATCACACTGCTAACTACAGAGGTTGCCCTGTATATAAAGATTTGAAATAGAAGTTGTCACAGGACATTCAAGCACGTCGTAATCAAATTTTACAAACACT